TTTTGTTTCATCGCTGTTTTGACTCGTTTCGAGCTCGAAACAGCAAAATCAAAATGAAGCAGAGAGTTTCAAAACAGCCTTGAAACAAAATGAGGCAAGTGGAAACGTTTCAAAATTTTCAAAATATTTCAAGTTTTGAAGCTCAAGCTGGGCCTGCCTGCAGGGAAACAGAAACTAAAGTAAGGAGAGGGAGGGGGAAGAGGGGAGAAGCGGGGGAAGGACTGATCTCATATTGGCTGTGTAGCTGGCCAGTGACTGTCATACTTTCCTGAGGTCCCTTCCAATCCCAGTACACTGGGGGAGGGATGGAAAAACTGCATAAAAGGCAGCATTGTTTGAACTGCCCTGCTTTCTGCCTTGGTGTCAGTTGAGTGAGGGCACACCTTAACACACACACAGTGTCACCCGCCCATGTCACGAGTTTTGCCTGTCAGCAGCCAGAGATGCAGAGGCCCAGAACCCAGAAGCCCCTGCACCTCTCTCCTTGAAAGCTGGCAGGCTTCATGGCCTCAGCAGGGGCTAGGATGACTGCAGTTTTCACCCTGCTGCGCCTTAACACACACACAGTGTCACCCATGTCACAAGTTTTGCTTGTCAGCAGCTTGAGGTGCAGTTTCCCCCAAACCCCTGCACCTGTCTCCTTGAAACTTGGCAGGCTTCATGCTCTCAGAAGGGGCTACCATTCCTGTACGTTTCATCCAGATCAGGCCAGAAATGATGTTAGAGGCGGTTTCAAGCATTATATAGCCTATGGGCGAAACGTCAAAAAGCGTCGAAACAGCAAAACTGTGTTGATGAAATGAAATGGAACAGCAGTTTCAAATCGAAATGGAATTCAAAACGAAACGCCGTTCCAGCAAAATGCAAGTCAAAATGGAACGGTGCCATTTCGCACAGCCCTACTGACAAGCAGATCATATTACCTTATATGTGGCAGGTGTGCAAACACATTAAACAAACACATGCTTATAGTGCCATCAATTGTGGGGCAAATCCTGATCATCTGTTTATGTAGGGGAGTCTGAATTCCTTTAAGTTTCTCCCCATATCCTTGCCTACCTCCAAATTAGAAGCCAGGAATAACTGACCCTGGAGTTATCAATATTAACTACTTGACTTTTTTCCTTACAGATTCCTTAGACATTTTGCTCCTTGGGGGATGGATTATCTCTATTATTTCTAAACGTCTAGAAATACACGAACTCAAACCATGAGAGAAGCTTGTAAATACTGCCAACGTTTGACTCAATGTGGGAACAGTTTTCTAATTGCATTGCCGGTCCCCGCTCCCTACACAGTAAAAGAACAAGATTGACTCATTCATTTTATCCTTCCACGTTTACAAGTTCTCTCTAGACAGGCTGCATCCTCTCCTGTCAATTTTGAAAGCTTTTTCATTTGTACACTGGAACTTCTCTAAGCCAGAAGCTCTTAACAGTATTAAGTCTTAGATCAAATCAATGGCTGTGTAAATTAGGTTCTCTCCAAACCTTACCCCTGTTCCCCATTACCAAGACCCTCAATAATGGCTGTGATATAAATACAATGTCATCCATGGTCAGATTACTTGGAAACGGGCCACTTTCATACATTTTATTAGCAACCTTTGGACAAACCTGCAAAGTCATCCGTGTAGTACAAGGCATTAGTGGTCAGTCTTAAAATCAAAATGAAGATTCATTGTTTAGCTAAGAGAAAAACAGGTTACCCCTTTGCATTGTTATTTAACCTTACCTTTTTTCTTGCAAGCAAAAAAAGTCTTGAAGGTTTTGGCATCTTAACTAGGGTAAAGAATAAATCAAAAATAGCATAAAGCTCTAATGGTTGCAGTCCAAGAGAATAAATAGTTGCTTTCTTATATGAGTACGGGAGGTGGGAGTATGCAAGGCCTATGACAAAGGGCTTCATTTCTTAATTGAATTTAATAAAATATGTAGGAACAAAGCTTCCCATATTTAATACAATTTTTCAGAGCAGTCAAGGACGCCATTGACAGATTGCTAACTTTGTGCCTCTTTTGAAGGGCAGCGTAAATGGACTGCAACCAAGAAATAGGATCACACCTGCTCAGCAACACCTCTGCTCCCAAACAGTATGGATATAATTCAATGGCATTAGATTCTACAGACCCTGTGGACACGTGGTAGAAACATCCACTTCTATTGAAAGGAAAAATTTCAATTAATTCATTAAGCAGAGGGTGGAAAGCTCAGCCAGGTGTTTTTAAGCGGAAAAGGTTCTAAGGTTGCAGATGGGGTTGGAACCGATGGGGTACACGAGCAGTAGGTGGGCTGACAAGGTAAAGGTTCCCTAGCTGTGTTTCTGGAGTTAGAGAGCTGGTCTGAACAGGATTTTGGAGAGTTTGAGAGAGGCCTTTTGATGGAAGGGATGGTTGCGTTTGGGCATGGATGTGGAGATGACGTTACAGGAAGGAGGTGGAGTACTGTCAGGAGGAGCTATGGAGTATTATATGGGACCAGGTCAGTCCTGTCATGGGAACTGTAGCAGGAAGCTGCAATGAAGGTTGATCAAATCAGGATGCACATCTGGAGAGGTTACAGGAAACGTTACTAGAGAGTGAGAAGCAGGAGGGGGACTAGTTTAACAAGAGTATCGTTCCCCTCCTCCTGTCTGCATTAAACCCCAATCTTCTACTGAGAGGAACATGATATTTGTAAGTTGGAGGAGACCTGTACTATCCACTTAAACAATAACAATTGGTTCCTTTATGATGCTGCCCCTCAGCTCCAGTACTTTTTGCTGTAGAATAATTATGTTTTTGGTGAAATCCTGGTCTCACTGAAGTCAACGGAACCCAGGGTTTTACCTTTAAGGTTTGAAGGGATAAAATTTAATGAGGTAAAGAAAACACCTGCATTGAATCCTGCTAACAAGAAGGTTCAGTGATGCCTACAAGTCATGCCAGAAAGATAAGGAAAAGAACTAGTTACCTCCCAGATCTGGGGGCTGATTTCTACCTACGTAGAAAACATAACTGACAACAAACCAAAATAAAACCAAACCAAGAACCAAACAGAACCGGCAGGATTGTGGGAGAGCTCAGTATTGCTAGTTTTGAAATTTCAAACTAATCGTTTTGCAAATGCCATTTTAAAGAAACCATTTTACCCTGTCCAAGTAGTAAAATAATCCTAGCTTTGATTTTTTTCCACCATTGTGCTTATTAATTTGTCACTTTTAAAATCAGTAATTAGATGAGACCCACCAGAAACAAAGATATAATATTTCACCATTTACAGCTTCACAAAAAGTAACAGGCTTGATCATACTACACAACATGATTCTGTTATCTAAAAACTAATACGACATTCAACAAAATGCTTACAATTTTATGTTTCAATGGAAGTAGAGGAAATAAAACCTAAAATTACTCCCATTTATGGAATCCTTGGGAAGAAATGTGACTTATCTAATCATTCTATTGTGTAAGATTCTTGTACATTTAATAAAGAACATATTTTAGACTTCAGGAAGAAAGGGTCTTGCAGCCTTGGTGTTATACGTACATTGATCACATTTTGCTCCCACCCACCCAGGGAGGCAGTGGCATGTTCCTATAATGTGGTTGCAGCTGGCAGCATTCTTGCATTCACACACCTGGTGGCAGTCAAGTCCAAAAAATCCATCTGGGCAAGCTGAAAGTAGAAAATAAGTTTTTAACACAGTTCCAATTTCTTCATGTCATGTCTAGAAACAAGAAACTCCAGGTTCTGGAAATGCTGTGTACTGGAAAACTTTTAGTTGGTGCCTTTTTTTGGTTATTCTGTGGGCGCATCTACACTAGATGTTTACTGCAGTCGTCTAATTAGCTCCACAGTAAACATCTCAGCGTCTACACATGCGGTGCTATTAGGATGGAATACACTAATTAACTTTGCTGTAGGTGAGACCTTGTAAAGACAAGTACTATCCTGAGGCAGTTTTTTACTCGCGTGTGTAGATGCTGATGGTGGTGGCTGGGGTACAAGGGTGCTTCAGTGTGGGGGCTGCCTGCTAGCTAGCCTACCCTGAAGCACCCTCATACCCCAGCCAGTCCCTCTGTAGCATATTGAGGTTGGAGCTGCTGGTCAGGCTTGCAGATTGGGTTGGCAGGCTGATCCCCTGGGCCTCCTGCCAGCCAAGGTTGCTCTGCCCCAGCTCAATGTACTACAGTCCCAGGTGCATGTTCAAATATGGCACCTGGAAGCAATAAACTACAGTGCAATAAGTGATAGAGTTTATTGCTGCATATTAATAGCACATGTTGTTTTGCCCTAAAAGTTTGAACTTACACTCCACTAAAGATTAAATCTTAAAACGGGTTCTGTAGAAGTCCAAATACATGTCTCAGTATCACGTACTCGAATTTGCTAGACACACCTCAGAAAAAAGGTACCCAAATTGTTATTTAACATAAGATATACTGTAGTGGAGGTTAGGGGACAGTAATTCGATTAATTGATTCAGATCACTGTCCCGATTCGATTTGGCCAAATCCAAATCTGAAGATTCAATGCTAACTCGGAGAATCAGCGATTCGGCCATAGACACAGCTTTACATATTTTTTCTACATACCTCAAGGTACCAGGTGCGACTTGTGAACGCTGCGATGCTAGGGCGGATGGAGCGTCTCATGTGGGTGGGGGAGCCCTATGTGCTTGGCGGGAAATCCAGAAGTGGACCAGAAGTATGAACGGCCATGGGGGAGCCCTGGGTTCCCTTCCAGACACAGGAGGCACCAGTCGCCGAGCTGGGACGTGGGGAGGGGGTTTGTAGCAGGGCACTAAGGTGCCTGCTGCTCTTGGGAGCAATGAGGAAGGAGCCCAGGTGCTGGTTGCTAGGGCAACCAGAGGGAGCCAGTGACTTACACTTGTCAGCAGTCAGCTGACCAGAAGGGGCAGGGCCTGGCCTTTTGGGGGCACAGACCCCGGCACCAGTGAGGGTACAGCCTTTTGGGGGCACAGACCCTGGCACCAGTGAGGGTGCAGCCTTTTGGGACGAGACTAACCCCGGCACTGGAAGGACGAGCTTAAAAAGGCCAGCGAAGCCTGGTGCACCTGGGGGTGGGGGGGTGCAAGAATACATATATATAATAGGGGGTTTTTTTGTGTTTGTTGTCAGGGCTGGCAGGTCACTCCTGGTTTTGAACCAGGGGCCCCTTTGCTGTGGGGCTGGTGCCCGTGCCTCTGGACCAGAGAGGGCCATGCTCCAGAAGGGAGCAGAAAAGGGGTCCATGAGCCTCCAGGCACTTGAAGGAAAAGCTAGAGCCTCGGAGTCAAACCCTGTGTGGTGGGTTTGGACAGGGAGGCCTAGCTAGAATAAAAAGGGGTCAGGCCATTATAGGAGCGATCCCAACATACCCAATAGAATAGGCAGTCTCCCGCTCTCATAATAAGTTCCAACAAAACGTGGCAGGTAAGATTAGAGCGGACAGAAGAATTCCAAGGGCACGCCACACAAGGTGTGCATGACTAGGAAGATGGCGCTGGGGAGGGAGAGCCGTTACAGGGGTCCACTGTGCTCTCCTCAGCGGACCCAGAAGTGGACTGGAAGTGCTTCTGGTCCACTGCCGAGCTCACTGGGGGCCCACCCCCCGCGTTCCCGTGGGACATGCCATCTGCCCATCTCAGCATTCATGAGCCGCCTGGCACCTTGAGGTATGTAGAAACAACATTTAAAGCTGTGTCTATGTTCAAATTGTCAAATCTCTCTGAATTGATTCAGAGGGTTCCGATTCAATTCGGAGAGATTAAAAGGTCTCCTGATTTGATTCGGATTTGGAGATTCAGCCACCATATTGGGCCAAATCTCCACCAAATAGAATCAGAGACTGAAGCTTTGCACAGCCCTAGCAGAGATCACTACGTATAGGATCATGTGAGGCTATAATCCAAAGTTACGGGATTAGAGAGCTAATGTGATTTCACAATAAACCGATAGTTGTAGTATCATACAGGACAGAGGTAAAAATAATGGCCTTGTCATGAATGAACAGCCTGTTTCCAAAAACAAAAAAAGAAACCAAAGACTTCTCAATGGTAGGTATGGCACAGAAGGAGACACAAAGGCAGAATTCAGACAACATATGAAGTTTCGGCCACCTCTAGTCTATCTTCTAAATCTCTGGAAGTGGAAATGTGCTGCTGCCATTTACTTTCCTGACCCAATCCTAAGAATTTTCAGATGGCAAACATAAGATACATTGAGATTAAATGAAAAACTTGATAAAAGAATTAGGTCCCTCTCAGAAATGGGCAAAGACCATCAAGAGAAACTGAGTATGACAGGACTTCTTCAGAGCATCATAGGAATTTGATAAACAGATTTCAGGAAATATAAAAAAGATCAGACTCATTGATTCAATCTATGATTGCACCTATTATGAGACCCTAAAATAATGAGAATTAAGTATCAGTGATTTTTTTTAGAGGTGTACCATACCCAAATTATGCATTAAGATAACGTTAAGGTTGCAATGTATAGGGCTCAAAAGTTAGGAAATGCCATCATTAGTCCTAATATGCCAGCCTTAAACATATGTATCATAACAAATTCTTTAATTATAAGGTCTCATGCCATTTCTTCCCCTACTTCATTAAGTTCATGATGGACACTACTCCTTTAAGCATTTCTTCAAGACTTTGTTTAACCTCTTTGTTCAATGTGTTGTCCTAGGTTTTATTTATCATACACTGTTCAAACAATAGCCTGGATACAAAATTATTAATTGACCTACAAGATTTTCTATAGTAGTTTCTGATGGCTTAATAAACTTTTAACAAATTTAACTTCATAAGTCCCCTGTAAGACACAATGGTATAATTTCGATAAGGGTTTCAGCTGGGTGTTTAAAATTAGTGGATAGTTTTGTTCCAGTGTTGGTCCGGTCTCTTCCTCACTACCTCCTGCTGGCACCCCTTTGGTCCTCCATTTCAGTGTCCTTGCTTAGTTAATCCTAGTGTCAGCATCTTTGGGATTTCAGATCCCAACTCCTGCCTCCCTCTCTTTGGTCCTGTCTTCTCCTTGCCCAGCAGTGCTAATTTTCCCTGCCAGTCCTCAACTTCCAGTCCTGGCATCTATCTCACACCTCACCTCACCAGATCTCAGTCATTTGTTCTACTTCTTACGATCAATCCCATTTATTCCTATGGCAACTGGAAACAGTGCCTGACAGCAGGAAGTGTTATGAAATTCAGTGCACTATCTGCACACTAAAACAGAAAGTAAATCTAAGACATCAAGCGGTAAAAGGTAGTAGTAGTAACGGAGTGCAACCTCTGCTTTGGGATCCAGAAAAAAAACTAATTTGATTCTGATGGCAGCAGTTTGCTTTTTTTTTAATATATGATTTCATAGTTGCCTTATGCAGAGAGAAAGCACAAACCTTTCCTTTGGACAGTCTAGACTACAGTTTCTTTGGCTTTTCAAGCTTGGAAAATGTTCTGAAAATTGGCTTTCATGTGAAAACGGGTAAGTAACACACATTGTTGTAAAGCATATTGGAAGTGCCAGTCATCCTCTTGTTTAGTTTTTATGGACAGAAAGGCTGTTATTGAGCTGTAAGGTGGTATGCCTTTTTGCAGTTCCAAATCTAATTGGATCATCATATCTTGCCTGTTATTATTTACTGACCTTCTGTAGCGTGAGCCACACAGAATACCAGAGAGAAAATACATTATCCAACTACAGATAGCTAAAGAGATTGCAAACAAATCCCTCATCCAACAAAGGGATTACAAAATTTTGTCAGAACCTGGAAGTCTATGACACTACCCCTATCTCGCTAAAGTAACTTTCCCACCTTTGGAATTTATTCATCCAGCAGAAATCCCACATGACCAATGTGAATCATGTTAGTATGTCCCGATTTAGATACAGGAGTGTTATTCTAGACCTCAGTACTACATGTACTGAAAAGCCTGTGACTCCATGCTATAACCATATTCATTGAAGAGAAAAAGACTTTTGTTGGAAAAGTAACTAGAGGATTCTGCCGCTTTATATTTTGTAGGTTGATGAATTGTTTGGTACTGTAGGGCCGTTCTACATGGCCCAGCAGGAAACTGGATAATTAATTTACTGGTTGGACATTGGAATTTAGTGTTTTGTCTGAGACGAAATGGTGTGAGGGCATGTTGGACGAAGAGAATTAAAAGCAATTTTAAAGACAACACTACCTTACATAATCCTTTTCTTCCCTCTAACAAAACTAGCTAATAGTTTTGGAAGGAATAAAGCTCAGCTGGAGATCAGTCTGGAGAGTTAGGGATGCTGCTTTTCTCAGTGGCTTAAAGTGGAAACTGTGGGTACTTGGTACCACAAAGATTACATCACATTTAACAATTGCTTCTTTGAACAGCAGCAGACCAGACCAGGGTGACCTATCTGGATGATTTGACTTGGCAAATATGAAGGAACTGATAACACTAATTGGATAGTAAAGCCAGATTCTGAGGCTCTTGGTTTTTGCTGGGTCAACTGCTGGGTTGTTTGTCATGAGGAGCTCGTGAAAGCTTAGGTTCCTCACATTTCAGATGTTTACATTTATTTAAGACAAGCTCTGATGTATTTAGCCATCTTTTACAACAGGGGATTGAAATAATTTACTCCGACTCCCCTGGTTTGCAAGAAGTGCATTGAAACTTAAACCCCAGGGCAATGCACGATTATAGTTGGCATCTTTGCTGGGAAAAATATTACTCATATTATCTATGTTTTAAATGAACAGAGAAAGATTTTCTATAAGATCTTTTGCTATGATTATTGCTTTTGCATACTCCAGGAATAAAGACTTTAATTGCTACTTTAATTCACATACAGATGAAACCCTCTTACCATCCCCTAAGGCTAAGGACCTTGAGACTACATTTGAAAGGAATGGGCATTTAAACATATGGAACATTCTCAAGTGAGATAGGGGAGAGATTGCTTGCTGGTAGCATTACTCAGGAAATGATTTATTGTCCTGTGGTAACTCAAGATCTTTTAGAGCATGCACATTTCACTTGCAATATATAGCCTTTGCCGGTATAGTAAATGCTGATTAATTTGCCATTCCAAATGGAATACAAATGATGGGAAATTACACAGTAGTGACCAACTGGGAGGAATTGATAATTGAGGGCGTGAAGGGGAGGGGAAGAAACTGGTAGGGAATTCAACCACAGGGAAAGGTACAGTTTACTGTATTCTGTTTGAATTACTTTCTGATTTCAAGAAGTCAAAAATGACACATTTCATTCTTCCCTGCTTGCACGATGCCTCTCTCACCCCTTCAACCTGGTCTCTCTTGGTATATTTCTTTAATTAAATATTTATTTATAGACCTTAAACTTTTTCTCACACCAAAAATCAGCCCTGTTGAACACACAAGGCAGTGTAGACATTTTTTTTGGTTGGGTTTTGCAGTGACTAGTTCTCAGCGGGTCACCCCTGAGAGTACAGGGTTTCTATTCGGAACATGGCAGAACCTCTTTGTTCTACTTACGTCTTGCTGTGTAAGATGGCACAAATACCATCATAATAGCCACCTGCTTGGATATATGTCAGGTTATGGGTAAAGAATAGCTGGTTTCAGCTGAACTTGAGGAAAACAAACACCATACTGAAGGGCAGCTATAATGCTGTCTCCTGTGGCTGATGGGGGATAGCCGCAATCAGACAGTTCAGTTCAGTCAGAAGTGCTCCCAGGCTCTTCAGTGATGCTAAAGCAGTTTCTCTGAATAAGACTTTCTACTCTCTCAGGTTAGGCAACTCTGTCGCATCCTGGCAGACAACCTGGCTTCAGTTACATGTGTCTTCATCACCTCCCTGCAAAACTAAAACGATGTGCTATAGTTCTTAACATTTCCATATAATGTCATTCCAAATCCCATGTCTCAGGCTGTCTCTTCAAAATGCTCAGTGCCAGGGATCAGCACATCTAGGAGGTTTGTTTTTACGGTGAACTCAGGCTATGGCTCAAGCACTGCACCTGACTTGTGGTCACTTCATAAATAAAACTCATTCATTCAAGTGAGGTGATAATTTTCACTGAAGTGGCTGGGCCCATTAGGGAGTCCAGCTATAGATCAAGCTACTGCAAAGCATCTCCAGAATGGTCATGTTAGCTGCAGTACAAAGAAGGACTAGCTCCACTCACATGCCACTGGTACTCTAACACCTTCCTACAATTCCCCCATGTCCCCATAAAGATGGACTGGCTATCTCACAATTCACAGTACAGTTCAGCTTACTGTAGCACAAAGAACCACAAAATGTGTCCCCAGAAATCTTAGTGGCACACAAATGCCGACACAGTGGACACAGTATTATTTTGTAGCATAACTGCCCTTTATGGATCGTCTAATTTAGGAAATGCCAGAAAATAAGATTGCCTGAGCTCTCCCCTGAGCATAGAACCTTTAATCCACTGCACACACTTTTGCCACTTGAGCTAATAGATGACAGAGTAACTAATAGCAGCTTGAATGTGTCATCCTCTATGTGGAACAGCACATAGGTGATGAGGAGACACAGGTAGGGTTCACAGATATTTGCTGACAGCAGAGAAATGCTAAGACATACAGTTCCAGGCACTGTCCCACGCTGGTAGGGAGTGTGTCCTAGTGCATATCAATTTCTGCCTGTCCCCACCAAGTTGGATCCTTCTACCCCATCTCTTTCAATCTCTCTCAAAACTAGTCCTGTCTTTCCCATTCGTGTTTTTTCATTCCAACCCCATTCTTCTTCCCCAACCAGTAGGTGTTTTTCCTTCTCCATGTTTTTAATTCCGTGTTTAGCAAGCCCTACTCATTCTTCCACGCTCCCTGCCCTATTCTCAGTCTTCCCTCAAGCTTCCTTGCTCAGTCACTGTTTGGTGATGTTTATCAGACATTTAAGGCTGATGAAGAAACAGGAATCATTGGAAATGGGAAAGAAAGGCACAGATCAGCTGTGGGAGTGAAAAGAAAAATCAACGTATTAAATGTAGTGGCTTATCATGATTTGAAAGCGAGTCAGCTCTAAGGGGGACTAAGTGCAATGGGCACCACCATATATCTTATTCAGATGGGATGCACTAACCTATCCTTGTGGTACGTTCACATTGGTATGTTTGCCCAATATGGGCCATGTGTTTTATAGTCATGCTCAGTGTTTGCTACATTTAATCACCTTCATAGTTGGTTTCCATCACTGAGCACATGCTGCTTTTCACAGCCGTATAATGATAGGCAATGTATTTAAGGAGGTTTTCTTGTATGTGAATGCAAGACAAAGAGCTTTTTTCTTCATGTTAATTTGGGGGGGAGGAGGTGGGGGTGGAGGACACACACGCATCTTATATTTGAGTAAATACAGTAATAAGTTGTTTTTTTTTCAGGCTTCCCAGGTGGCCAGTCTTATAGAGACCTAATAAGGAGGAATCTTTTGGGGAAAATTAGTCCGTTTTCACATTTGTTCAGTCTGTAGTTAACGTTTCATGTAGCTATGTTAGGATTCATTTGTAAATGTTCACCGAACTATGGGTTTAAAAAGTAAAAAGAACAGATTTAAGGGAAAAAGACGACTTTGGTAAGTTATTTTAAAAAAAGCCTCAGGAAAATAACAGAAATTATGTCATAAGGTTCACAAGCAGAGCTCAGAAACAGAATGTATTTTTTCATGTCATGTTTCCTGGACAGAATGAAAAAAGAAAATTATAAATGCATTTTTTCCATATATAATGTATTGGGTATTTGACAGTAGTACCAAAGTTACAAAATGCCTTGATTTCCATTAGGGGGCACCACTTGCATGCAAGTGGTATAATCCGTCTCATTCTAACATGCACAGATTGTATTCTAAGCTAACTGATATTTTTGTATGATAAACAAAACAATTACAGCTTTGGTATATTGACTGTTGGTTGTAAAATATATACTAAATAGTATTCAAATATTCCTGCAAAATAACTGATCCAATGCACATTATTTCTGCTGTGCTCTAAACAGAATGGATTTTTCTTTCATTCTCTGCATTGCTTGCAGTGTGAAAGCAAAATCACAAGAAGATGCAGCAGATCAACTCAGGAATGGGGTATCTAAGAAATCCTGTCCAAAATAACTGTTCCTTCATTTTAACAAATTACCAGGTCATCACAGATGCATTGCTAGACTTCAATATTCTTAGGAAGCGAGACTTTAATACTGTTAGAAAACATGTTGCTTTAAGCCACCAGCTGGGTGAGAGTCATAGATCCAAGCACAAGGGGCTAGTAAAGAATTCTAACTCACGTAGAACATCTTTTTCCCCCATTCTAAAGCAGTAAGATTTTGTTCACAAAAGCCTTGATTCAACAAGCTTTTTAAATCCCTACTTCGTTCTAAAGCACATGAATTGTCCCAGGATGCTAATGAGACTCAGAAATGTAATGCTTAGTTACCTTCCTAAACTGGTGTCTATCTGCCAATAGTGAAATATAAATTCATATTTATAACCATATTTTATATTTCACCATTCAGGTTAGGCCCTGCCCATTATGAATCCAGTTCTGGAGTGATCTGTGAGAAATGGCTGCCTCCATGTAAAAGGAAGGAAAAGTACCTTTTTCACAAAAAGTTCCTGTCCAACCAGCCGCGCAAGTACAGGCTCCACTGACATGATCGCAGACAGCTCCATTCTTGCATTGACAGCTGTACTTACAGCCTGGCCCAAAGGTCCCATTGGGACATCCTGTGCGAAGACAATCGAAAGCAGGTGTTGGGTGGAATCGGGCATAGATCAGTGTAGAATAACCGCAGCACACAAGCCCATTTGAACTTTTCTGTTTGAAAATGGAGGATCAAGGCTTAACTCTTTACCCTGAAAGAGGTAATATTAGGCATTACCTTTGAGAGATTGGCTCCTGTAGGAATTCAGGTGGCTGATTTTCTTGGGGGGGTGGTTAAAGGTGTATATATTAGGAAAAAATGAAAGATCTGCAGCACCGGAGATTGCATGGAAAAGCAATAGAGATTACAGTTGCGAGGACTTCAGTTCTCAGATTCCTGATCGTTTCTTTGCCACACATCAGTCTAGAATTACTTATTTGCACAACTCCCCTCCCTGAACTTCACCTGCTGGGAAGTGATTGCTGGGAACGTGACCTGCTGGGATGGGATGGGGGCTGTGCAGGATTTCTAGAGTTGCCCTTAAGCTCCGATTCTCTCCCCTCCCACGCTCACACAAGCACACACTTTCCCCCTTGCAATCCTGATTCACCAGTCAAACCAATGTAAATTTGACTGAATATTAAAGAGGGGACTTCCTTTGGGAAAGCTTCAAGCTGGAAGCTGCACACATCACTTACAGCCTCTGCTTTGAAAAATTCCAAATGAAACATTACATCTGGGGGAATGGCTTAGGGAGTTCTCTCTCTATTGCAGGTCATGTTAATTTTAAATGAATCCTACCAAGTCATTTACTATCTTAAGAAAACACAACTTCAGCATGCAAATTGTATTCTCCAGGACTACAGAAAAATCAATTAACATAGGGTCAGTTGCCTTACTGGCATTAGACACATTTTGGAGAGCCATGGATGGCAAAAATGGCTTAGGATAGACACAACAGTGTAGGACATTTACACTAGTTGAAAGGTTATGCTAATTTTATTCCTAAACATTTGTAGATCATTGCCAGATCTTTTTAAAAGGGGAGTATTTTAACATTTATATCTGCAGTCATTTTAAGCAACGTAGCAAGTATCAGAGCACACAAGAAACAACCATCCTTTACGCTTCTCTGAAATATTAAACACCATAACCAGAAGAAAATATGCCTACATCCTGCTTACCACCAAACAACTTCAAGGTAAACAGACTATTCCAACTTTTCTCTGAGCCCCGCCTGCATAAAAGTAACCATTCCAAACAGGAGATCTTACCACACCTTCAACTCCTCTATGAAATATGAACTTTCATTTCTGCCTAGAACTTTTACACTCTCTTCTCCTATGCCTGAAGAAGGGTGTTTGTACCCGAAAGCTTGCAATTAAAGACTTTTTTTTTTTTTTTGCAAAAATCTCATTGGTCTAATAAAAGATATCACCTCTACTATGAGTTCTGATTCCAAGAAACAACATGCACTTTCAGAGGTGATTCTGCATCTAAAGATAAAATGGAATTGAAAAAAGAAGCTATATGGTATTCTGGCTAGGCAAAACAATGGGCTTAATCAGTTCTTCAAGGGTTTCCATGATGGAAAGGGGATCTTCAGGTCACAGAGGATTAGGATGCAGCAATATACTATTCCATCCAAAGTCACCCCCATTTTTGGGGCATGGCTGGGCAAACCCTATGTGTCAAATAATCCCCAACTATCAGAACAGTCTCTTGGGATAGATGCAGCCCATTGTAAGGATTGTAGGGAATATAAAGGTGGACTGAATACACCTTTGCTCCCTCAGTTTTTGGTCTTTGGCTAAACACAGCTGGATGAGACCAAAGACTAGAGGTTTGTCCACATAGGTTAGTCATATTATGTTTTATAGATCAAATTCAGCCCTGGTGTAAGTAGGTGCAAAATTTCATTACATTGCTGGAGCTACATACTAAAGACTGCTTTTGGTTCTATGTGTCTTCTGCATTTTTCTCTATACACTTTTATAATTAGAAAACACATACAAGACTACTTGTTTTTAAGCTTGCATACTCCTGTTCCTTAGTCTTAAAACTGAAGTTTCAGAGCCAGACTCAGGCTGGGTATGCATGTAAAAACATATTTCAGATCCAAAGTAAGTGAACACTATGGCAAAAACCATAGGGACAGAAGTTGCACATAAACCAGTTTAAGTGATCAGAAACTGGCTTAAATCTGTGACAGAACAGAAGTTCAGTGCACATAAACCAGTTTCAAAATAGCTGAAACTGGTTTAAGATAAACCTGGTTGAATGTAATATTAGACTTAACTGATTTGTGTCAAATCAGTTTATGAAACTTCTGTCCCAGACCTCTTCCTTGTTCAAGTTAATCACAGTCCCCCAGCATCCCAGCATGCTTTCCAGCCCTGTGCTGTGCTGTGCTGCCTTCTCCAGCAGAGAAGGGTTGTGAGGTGGAGGAGGCAGGAACTGTCCCTCTCCTCCCCTCCCTTCCCCTCCCCACCCCCAGGCAAACCCCAGCTAGGGTCTGAGCCCAGGGACAGCAGGTAAATTTCCCTTCCCCCAAGTACAGAGCTGCCCTGCTAAAAACTCACTGCTGGCTGCAATTGTGGACTACAAATCTCAGAGGCACCTGGAAGCAGGAAGAGGAAATGATGAGTTACACTTCAGAGTCCTGTTGTTGTAAGTGTGGACTGCAAATCCCAGAGACCTCAGGGGCAGCAGGAAGAGGAAATGAACACACAGCCCATGCTGGATATGTGCCAGAGAGCTGTGCTCTAGCACTCCCCCAGCTTCTGGCTTGAGCCACTGAAGACATGTGGCTGCATTTCCTGAATCAAAAGTGAATGCCTGTCCAGTTGTTTCTCAGTTTCATCTCTGAAGCCTAGACTAACCCAGGGTGGGCAAAATGCGGCCCAGGGGCTGGATATGGCCCACCAGGCTATTCTATTGAGCCAGCGGGGCCCCTAAAAAATTTAGAAAATTAATATTTATCTGCCCCTGGCTGACTGTTATGTGGCCCTCAATGGCTTGCCAAAACCCAGTAAGTGACCCTCCACCCGAAATAATTGCCCACCCCTGGACTAACCTGCAAAGACTGAATTGTTTTAGCCTTGGGCTTTTTGACTGTCTGTACTTAGCCATGGTGTTCACAATCAACAGGCTCCATGTCTTTAGCCTGGGAAGGATGTTTGGGAGGTGTTGTCTGGAGAGAATGATTTTCAGGGGTGACTGCTGTCTCACATCCTAATAAATATTCACCCCACCTTTGTCAGGGGCAGTTCTGCTGAAGTGGTAATGCACACCAAAGTATATACCAAATGAAAAGGACCTCACAATTGCTTGTGATGTCCCAGACAGGCAGCAGGAGCAGATGAACTATCAGATGACAAAGAACTAGTTGAGGCAATATGAAGTCCTTGCAAAGCAGAGAGTGGTGGTATCGTAAGATTCATGTAGCACTGAGCATTACATAATAAGGGCTGTGGGTCCCTTACTGGATGGAGGAGGCAAACTTGTGACAGAAAATGCAGAAAAGGCTGATGTACTCAATGCCTATTTCACCTCAGTCTTCACAGGCTAGGTCAGCTCCCAGACTACTGCACCAGGCAGCACAGTTTGGGGAGGAGGGGAGCAGCCAACAGTGGCAAAAGAACAGGTTAGGGACTACTTAGAAAAGCTAAACAGATACAAGTCTATGGGACCGGATGGGTTGCACTTGGGGATGATGGAGTTGGCTGATGTGACTGCAGAGCCACTGGTAATCATCTTTGAAAACTCATGGTGATCAGGAGAGGTCCTAGATGATTAGAAAAGGGCAAGCATAGGGCATATGTACACATGCACACACCACAGCAGTGGGTGCTTTGAAAAGCGCCTGGTGCTGCAGCACATACAGTTGTGTAAGTGGTGAAATGCATGTCAGCACTGAGAAAATGGCAGCAGTGCACTATTGAACTAAAACACATCGGAAGTGCTTTAGCTCAAAAGCACACCACTGCCATTTTCTGTGCGCTGATATGCATCTCACCACTTATACAACTGCATGCGATACAGCGTAGTGCGCGTCAACTCATGTGTGGAGCAGACTTAATTAATCAGACTTGATTAATCAAGTCTGCTCTGACACGCCAGATCTCTGACGCATCCCTGCACAAAAATATATGCATCTATGAAAGGGAACAATGAGGATCCAGGGAACTACAGACCAAGTCAGACTCACCTCAGCCCCTGGAAAAATCATGAAGCAGATGCTCAAGGAATCCATCTTGGAACACTTGGAGAAGATAAAGGTGATTAGGAACAATCAGCATAAATTCACCAAGGGCACATCATGCCCGATCAACCTGATTGCCTTCTATAGTAAGATGACTGGTTCTGTGGATGAGGGGAGACCAGTGCATGTGGTGTACCTTGATTTTAGCAAGGCTTTTGATAACATCCTACAACATCCTCACAGGCAAGCTAGGGAAGTATGGGCTGGATGAATGGACTGTAAGATGGACAGAAAAATGACTGGAGCATTGGGCTCAGAGGGTAGTAATCAATGGCTCAATGTTGGTATCAAGTGAAGTGCCCCAGGGGTCGGTCCTGGGGCTGGTTTTCTTCAATGTCTTCATCAACAACCTGGAAGATGGCATAGAGTGCACCCTCACTAAGTTTGCAAAGCTGGGGGGAGTAGTAGATATGTTGGAGGGTAGAGCTATGAGTCTGAGTGACCTAGATAAATTGGAGGATTGGGCCAAAAGAAATCTCATGAGGTTCAGCAAGGACAAGTGCAAAATCCTGCACGTAGGATGGAACAACCCCATGCACCAGTACAGGCTGGGGGCTGACTGGCTGGACAGCAACTCTGAAGAAAAGGACCCGGGGGTTACAGTGGACAATAAGCTGAATATGAGTCAGCAGTTTGCCCTTGTTGGCAAGAAGGCTAATAGCAACTAGGCTGCACTGGTAGGTGTGTTGCCAGTAGGTCCAGGGAAGTGATTATTTCTCTCTGTTTAGCACTTGTGAGACCACATCTGGAGTGCTGTGTTCAGTTTTTGGCCCCCCACTACAGGAAGGATATGGACAAATTGTAGAAAGTCCAACGGAGGGGGACAAAAATGGTTAGGGGGCTGGGGACATGACTTCTGAGGAAAGACTGAGGGAACTGGGCTTATTTAGTCTAGAGAAGAAAAGACTGAGAGGGGACTTAATACCAGCCTTCAACTACCTGAAGGGGAGTTCCAAAGAAGATGGAGCTAGATTCTTCTCATTGGGGCAGATGACAGAACAAGGAGCAATGGTCTAAAGTTACAGCAACAGAAGTTTAGGTTAGATATTAGGAAGAATTTGCTCATGGGGAGGGTAGTGAAACACTGGAACAGGCTACCCAGAAAGCTGGTGCAATCTCCATTCTTGGAGGTTTTTATGACCTGGCTAGACCAAGATTTGGCTGGGATGATCTAGTTGGGGATGGTCTTGCTTTAAGTAGGGGGGTGGACTAGATAACCTCTCTTCCGACCCTAATTTTCTATGATTCTACGATTCTAAGTGCTTAACATACATAAGAATAGTCTTATGATAAAAGTGGAGGAAAGCGGTCTACCAGAAATGCATGCCTTGTGTTTAGAGCTGCACAATGAACACTGGTGAGGCTCATATGAATCCTGCTTTAAGTACTTCTGGAAATAACATAGAGCTGTAATAAACTACAGAAGCCTATGAAAGCAGACCTAGTATTTATTCCAGCAAAAGGGGTTTATTTTTCCTCTCTACTTTTCACTTAATAAAATGAGTCAGTATCTGGATTTATGGAGTAAAAAGAGTCTGGGGCAGAAAACCTGAGGCTGCCTAAAAGCATATTCTCTTTACCAGTACAGGCTATATAATCATTTCTGCATATATTTTCTCCCCACAATAGAACAGAGCTTTCTACTCTTGACTGCGTGCAGGAATCTTTTATAGTCACCGATTTGGATAAATACCAAGAGATTATTTTAAAATCTATACTGTGTAAAATCAAAATGGCTCACCCTTCTCTTTTGCCCTTGATTTCAATCTGCTGGGATAAGTCACTATGATATTGCTAGTACAGTCAATTGTTTTAACCATGGTTCCCATTCCCTGCCTTCAACTCGCAGCCATGCCTCTCAGAGATGTGTCCCGTGTATCATTTTGATGTCACACATCAATGCAAGAAGCTAGGGAGTCAGGGATCTCTTATGACTGCACATGAATGAAGATTAATGGCCCTTCATGCTATCTACAGTTACTGACATCATGCAGGGATGCAGTCTGTGGAATCTAGAAGTTGGTGCGTGGATCTCTTCTTCCTCCCTATATCCTGTAAACAGTTGGTAGCAAGCAACTGTGCATGGAGTTCCCCATAGTTTACTTTTCCAATGCTATGTCTAGGTCATCACAATTGGTACTTAAACCTAAAGATCTTACCTTTATCCACCCATGAACCAAGGAAGAAGTGACACAACAAATGAAATTTTTCAAGTTTGAGAATTTTCAGTGTCCTGCTAACATGGTTTCCAAGGTTTTAGAAGAGAAAACCACCGGAAACGCTTGAAGATTTAATCCTCTCTTTCCCATTTTTCCCCTTTCCCTTCCTCTTTCTTCTGGTTTTTTGTTTTTGGTCCTTCTTGCTATTCCCTTCCCTCTACATGAGTCAACTAATGAACAAAGAAATACAGTCTAAGGAGCTGGTCAGCTAGCCTCTGGCATCAGATAATTTTAGTATATTTGTACTGAATTTACATGGTAAGATAGTGTGACCTGATTTTCTCAAGCGGCACAAAGGAATCTGTCTTCTGTACAATATTGCACGTCATATTATCAGTCTACAGAAGGGTTTCCATTAGGTAGGAGGGGATTAGTATCAGTTGTGGGCAATAATGAAGTCAGGACATCAACATTCCTGCATTTGCTTTCATATACATGATCATAAAAGGTTAGGAAGAAAAGTCATTAGTGTGGATAAAATCAAGTGAGATGATAAATCTTATACAAGGGAACAAAGATACATATGTATGGCAATTCTACACCCTAGCATGAAGTTGTAATTGCCCAAGTAGCAGTTTAATCCAAAAACAATTCTGGAAATAACTCTCCTGGAATCCAAATGATTAGTTAAGCTGTCTAGCACTCCTGAAATTTGAGCCCCTTGCAAAGTAGAGTTTTCCACACACTGGAGAATATACAGTTTGGATACCTTTCTGAAAATAATCACAAGGAAAAACAATTTCCGCTCTCTGAGCCTGGAAATTCCCCACTTTGACCTGGTTGCAACTTACTCTGTTCACAGTGTTTCCCGGTGTATCCTGGTTCACAGAAACAAACCCCAGTGACTGGGTCACAGCTACCATCACTGTTACTGCAGACACATGCATTTTCACAGTGCTGTCCCCAGTGGCCGGTGTCACAAGCTGCAAAGCAACATAACATATACCCAAGAATGAACTTCACACACGAGATAATAGGAGAGTTTGCATTCAGACAGAGGAATATGAAAATACATACACTGGCCAATGTTTACCAACTTGGATGCTTCAATTTAGACCTGTTAGGCCAGATCCTCAGGTGTGATAAACTGGAACAACTCCACTGAAATAAATGGAATTATGCTGATTTACACCAGCTGAGAAAATGGATCACAAACAGATAAAGGCACCTACATAAAAGCAGTTTAATAATCAAAAGTGCTGAGTACTCACAAATATTTACCTTCCTGGAGAGTAAATACCAAGTATTAAAGGGCTCTAACGTAGTAGAAAGAGGTGTAACAAGAATCAATGGCTGGAAGGTAAAACAAGACTATTTTAAATTACAAATAAAGCACAACTTTTTAAAAGTGAGAGTGATTAATTGGGAAATTCTTCATTACCTGAAGGCCTCAGATAAGGCCGAATGTCTTTCAGAAAGATATCCTGTAGTTGAATATGGGGGCCTTGTTAAAAGATAATTTTGGGTAGCTCCAGGAGCTCTTAACTCCTGGTTTGTCCACTTAAGTGGTTTTAAGCACTTGTTATGCAGCTAAAATTTATGCCGCTCCAGGGCAGGATTATCTCTGATTTGTACTAGCCAGCTCCTGTTCCGTTAAGATGTGGCCACTCCCCACAGATGTGCTGCCCAAGTTGAAGTCCTCCAGTATCCCAGGATCTCTCACGCTGCCCTTAGAAAAAGGAATAGAAGCCTGTCCTGGCTCACCAGCCCCCTAGTGACAACTCACAGCTACAGCTCCTAGTCCTGGCCATGCTCCCCAGGCCTCTAGTGGCAAGTCCCAGCTGTCAGAGAAGGTGTGACTGCTCCAAACATCATGCTAGCGCTACCACCAATCAACATTTGTGCGGCTCACAGTATAAGGTGTAACAAGGCTCCAAGTTACTGAGTTGAATAGAAGGTATAAAGAAATGAAATGTTATGGCCTCTGTTATGCAGGAGGTCTGAGCAAATGACTAGGTCCTCTTTCTGGCCCTAGAAATATGTGAATCTATGGATTTCATACAAAGTCAAAATCTGGTCTTATTTGGGTGACTCAGCATAAATTTACGTTCCTAATCTTGCATACTTGTGTTTGTAAATTTTAGGCAGTGTTATTCTATTACATACAGATTATTTATTCCTGTGCACCAAGACATTTTTCATTTTAGTAGAAATTTGTCATTTGTGCAAAAATATTACTGGAGAAAAGCCACATTTTCTTATTTTCCATTTGTGTTTTCCTCAACAGAACAAAAAGGGTTTTGTTTTGTTTTTTTTAAAAAAGGATAGTTGCCTTCTCCTGAAAGAAAACAAGAATTTTTGGAAATATTTATCTAAAGCATTTACTGCCAAAAATAAAAAATTCCCTAGAGTATTTTACACTGAAAGAAAAATATGTTTTCTTTTGAAATTTGTCATGAAACTTATTTCATCATAATGACTTGGAAAGAAGGTACAATCCAATTTGGGTACAAATATTTATATTGTCCTTCAGGTTTTCAACAAGTAAACAGTGATTTTTTTCCCCCTAAATTCCTGGGAAAATTTCAAAACTCCCCCAAATTTCACCCTCAATGGAAGCTGTATTGTCAATATTTACCAGAACAGGTGGGGGAAAATCACCTGTTTGCTTTTAGAAAGGTTCTGGATTTTTCCCCTAACCAGAAGAAAAATTACTAACATTTACAAATTGAAAAGAAAAATTTGCCACAAATTTTCCTTCTCATGGTCAAAAGGCATGTCTTTTGCAAGTGGAAGTAGAAGGAGATTTCCTATAGTCTGTTACCAGTCTGCTCTAACTCCAAAATTCACATAATCCTTGTAAAGTCTTTCAGACATGGCACATCTATATGTGCTATTAACAGGCAGCAATAAACTCCATTGCATATCATTCTGGAGTTTATTGCTCCCAGGTGTGCCGTTTGAATGTGTACCAGGACCAGAGCATGCTAAACTGGGTCAGAGCAGTCCAGCTGGCAGCAGGGCCCAGAGGTCAGCTTGCCAGCCTGGAGCTTCTCCTGCCCAGCTCAACATGCTGCAGAGGGGCTGACTGGGGCACAAGGGTGCTTTGTGGCAGGCAGCCCTTGCACTGAAGTACCATCATGCCTCTGCCAGCTGGGTCAGCATCTACATTTTATGCTGTGCATAAAAAACCCCTCATAAATACTTGTACTTACTCTGCTGCTGAGTTTATTAGTTTACTGTGGTCTAACAGGGCTGCACATGTAGATGCTGAGATGTTTACTGCAGAGCTGAGATGTTTCTGCAGGGGCGTGCAGAATGGGCCCTGTTCAATTCGGATTCAGCCTGACTCAGGGACAGTGATTCAATGTGTTGATTTGGATCACTGTCCCTGATTCGATTTGACCGAAACCGAATCTGATGATTCCATGCTGATTTGGTGAATCAGCGATTTGACACAGGCACAGTTTTAAAAGTTTTTCTACATACCTTGAGGTAGCAGGGGCTTATGATCGCTGCAGAGCTGGGGTGGATGGAGCGTCCCACAGCAGTGTGGGGGGCTCTCCAGCATGCTCGGCAGTGAACTCCAGGTCTGCTGGGAAGCGTGCTGCCTCCCCCCACCCCGGCTTGGTGATTAGCCACAGGGGGACCCCAGGTGAACCCCCAGACCCAGGAGGCACCAGTCACCAAGCCGGGGGGCACAGGGCCCCCCCCCCAGCAGATCCGGGAGTACTTCTGGTCCACTTCCGGGTCTGCTGCCGAGCACGCTGGGGATTCCCCGTGCTTCTGTGGGATGCTGCATCTGCCCCAGAACTATAACATTCACAGCCCCTGCTATCTAGAGGTATGTAGAAAAAACATTAAAAGCTGTGTCTATGTCTGTATCGCTGAATCTGTCTGAATCTCTCCAAATCGATTTGGAGGGTTCCGATTCAGTTCAGAGAGATTAAGGGGTCCTCTGATTCAATTCTGATTTGAGGATTCAGTCACTGAATCAGGCCAAATCTCTGCTGAATCAAATATGGGGCCGAAGCTTTGCACAGCCTTACTAATGAGGCGGCTCCGCAGTAAACATCTCATGTAGATGCACTCACTGTCTACCAGTCTGCTCCATGAACTTATCACGATGTTGATAAAAGTGAATAACAACACCCCCCACAGTAATATATTACTTTAGCCAGATATTTGGTAATGTGCTTTGATTCCTATATTTGATACCTTAAAAGAACTACCTTGATGGCAGAGCTGGGCTTAGCATTTTGGAGGGCAGCTTGTGAACGAATATTTTGCCATTTCTCTTCCTCAATTACAACCAGCTTTTTCTAGCTGCAATTGCACCATTCAGCCTGGGGATTGTGGACCGTTAGGTAAATGGACTCCTAAGATACACTCCAGATTTCACCAATATATTTTGTATTAAGAATATATATGTTAGTGGAAGCTTTAGATTCCCCCAAATCTTTAGGTTGGATACCTGGGGTCCAGAAGCCAGTTCCTAGGTACTAACTTGCATTAGTTTATGTTTACAACACTGTATTCACAAAAAGAAGGGTTTGTTTGCTTGTTGGGTTTTCGAATGAGGGATAACAAAGACTTAGAAGGAGGAGATTTAACAAGGGAAACAGCAGATTGTTAGACAGGGCAGTATAAATGCTGTAAAAAGGACAACATCTATTCACTTCTCTAGTATTCATGTGGAGAACAACAATGAAGTGAATGGCAAGATACTCGAGTGGAACTGGGAAAAGAATTTCACTCAGATTCACAAGTTAAGGAGTGACATTATACCTCAAGACCACGTGTCACTCAATTCTTGAGATAAACCTTCCCCAAACACAGTGAAAGACTGAGAATTAATCTTAAAACTAAACTGTTGAACATGACAAAGAATACTGGCTGTCAGTCAAAATGCTGATGGCACAGACAGTCTTGGGCAAATGGATGCATAGTGTTGAAATAATTGCTTATATCAACATTTTGTGCTTCATCAGTCATCCTTTTCAATAATATGAACATAAATAATTAAGGATTAATACCCCCTGGGCTGTATAATCCCATAAAGACATGATTTCAGAAGCAATGAGATTAGCAAAAGGATATTAAAAAAGTTTAATAGCTGAAGAACAAAATGAACCGATTCCTCTGATTTTCAGTTAAGTTTCTGAGAAACAGCACATAAGATCAGTGAAAAAATGTTTGACTTACAACGTTTGCAGTCATAGCCAGTCCAGCCAGGGGGACACGTACACTCTCCAGTCACATGGTGACATTGAGCATTGATATTACAGCTACACTGCAACAAGCAATTTTGCCCATAATAACCATAGGGGCAGGCTGAAAACAGACAGACAGAGTTTTTAACTTATGCATTAACATTTCATTTCAAACAAGGGAGTCACAGCTTAACTTGTCCTTCCACCTCCTGAAATGCATTCATTGAACAAGGAAAACAGAAGTCACAGTGACTGAACTATCTGCATTACACGTGCTAAGGGGAGAAAAAAACAAATCCTGTAAGTTGTTGTCAACCAGCTTTGGAGTTGTGCCTGATTTACATTGCACAAAAAGAATAGCACTTAGCATAGTTCTAAGATGCACAGAACTCCAGACTCATTTGACTGAAACCTGAGTTAGAAGTTGACCACTAAGTGTACATGTTTCCATTCTCACAGAGCTGAGGGAGGGGGGAGGGGGACATGGCCAGGCCCCAGCAGGCCTGAGTAAAACTGAGGAGGGGTTTAAATCTCTACATTGGCCTGCAGGGTTTGGGAGGATTGGGGGAAGAGGGAGTGTGGCCAGACAGGGGCATGGTGGGACCCCTGTGGTGGAGGAGAAGGAGGAGGAGGAGAGCCTCACCTGCCGCAGGGGTTCCCTGGCAGCCAGGAGCGATCTGTCCACACAGCTCAGCTGCCCAGCTCCGGAGGGGGACTCTTCCTCCTCCTCCTCCTCCTCCTCCTCCCCCCTCTCCCTCACTGCCATCACCACGGGGCAGGGAGGGGGTTGTGCGGTGCTGGAGGGAGACTGTTCCCCCTCCCCCATGCTGCTTCAGGCTGTGGAAGGGGGCTCTGTGTGGTGCTGCCCAGCCCCAGAGGGGAACTCTTCCCCCTCCTATCCACCCCCCCCACCATGGGGGGCTTTGTGTGGTGCTGGATGGGGACTCTTCCTCCTCCTTCCCTCTCTGCCACCGCTGCCACAGAGCGGGAAGGGGCTGCTCGGCCTGGCCTAGCCTGAGCTGCAGACACTAAGCTGTGAATGCTGGGGAGAGCCCCCCTCCACACCCTGCAGTGGTAGTGGGGGGAAGGAAAGGAGGGGAAAGTGTCCCCCTCCAGCACTGGACAGAATCCTCTTCTCCACCCTGTGGCAGTGGGGCAGAGGGAAGGAAAGGGAAGAGTCCCCCTCCAGGGCTGGACAGCACCACACAGAGCCCCCCCTTCCCACCTGGCAGCAACAAGAGGGGGGGCGAGGAGGGAAGGAAGGGGAAGAGCCCCTCTCCCTGTCCCATGATGGGTGGGGGAGGAGGAGATGGAAAGTCCCCCTCCCGGGCCAGGCAGTGCCACACACAGTTCCCTGCCACCCTGCAGTGGCAGGGAGGAGAAAGGGAAGGAGGAGGGGGAAAAGTCCCCCTCCCACACTGCACAGAGCTCCCCTGCCAAACCCTGTGGTGAGGGGGGGCAGGACTAGGGGGAAAAGTCCTCCTCCAGGGCTGGGAAGCACCTCACAGAGCTCCCTCCCTGCCCCGCAGTGGTAGGGTGGGGTGGGGTGCTCCACCGCAGTTTTAGCCCCCCAGTGGGGTGGGTAAAATTGACCTCTTCCCTGCCCCCTTAGCCTTAATGGAGCCGTATTGGAGGGCTGTGGTCCCTGCCGGTGGGACAGGATAGGAAGGGGGGGCAATAAACTCCATCCTGGGCACCCTGATAGAAGCTGCTGCCCCTTCCTCTCCCCCCACTGCTACAGCAGCAAAGGTGGGGGGCATGGCCCCATTAAGGTGAAGGGAGCAGGGGGAGGGTTAATTTCTCCCTCTGTTGCTTCTTCCCCCAGGGAACACTGTCTGCCAGTCCCAGCTGCTGCCTCTGTCTCAGCCTCTCACCCACAGACAGGCATACCTCACTGTGGAGGTGGGGAAGGGAAGGAGGGAAGAATTAACCCTTTCCATGCCAACTTTGCCTTAACAGTGCCATGCCGGGATGTGTCTGGCCAGTCCGTACCCCTGCTTGGGCTACAGAGTAGAGGGGTGGGGCCGACCCTGCTCTCTTGAGCAGAGAGCACAGCCCAGGGCTGCAGAGCATGCTGGGATGCTGGAGGACTCTGGTTTAACTTAAACCAGGAAGGAGCCTGGGACAGAAGTTGCATAAACCAATTTGACCCAAATCAGTTAAGTCTGATACTACATTCAACTGGGTTTATTTTAAACCAGTTTTGGCTATTTTGACACTGGCTTATGTGCACTAAACTTACGTTCTGTTATAGGTTTAAACCAGTTTCTGATCACTTAAACTAGCCTATGTGTAACTTCTGTCCCTAGCCTTGTTTGGTGCCAGTCCTTGCCTCTGATAGATCCACAAGAGGGAAGGGTAGAGTTGCAGCTTACAGACTAGCTAAATTAGAGATACATAAGCTTTTGTAAGCAACAGCTTACTTCATCAGATGCTAAGAAGGGAGTGCAGGGAGCAGAGCTTTTAAACAGAAAGCAGTAATTTGAATAGGGAAGGGGGAGGAAAAGGGAGGGGGCACTGCTAAGAGCAGGGTCATCCATGGGGGCAGCGAGCTGGGGACCACCCCAGGCTCCTGCACTTTGAGGGGCCCCACGGAGTCGGGCAGAACAGTGGCAGTGTAGAGCTGGGCGGAGTGGTGGCCCCGCATCCAGCTGCTAGCTACTCGACCCCCCCCAGCCGCTGACACCACCACTGACAATGGTAGTGGCAGCTTCTTCGGGTCCAGGGCCGTGAGATCAGAGTGGAGGTGGGGCCCCACATGGGCTGATTTGCCTGGGCCCTGCACCCTGTTTGGGTCAGCTCTGGCTGAGAGAGACTAACTAGGTGGGTAGAAGAGAGGAAAACAAAGCAGTAAACCCATTAAGGGATATAGGTTTTATAAAAACTAATCCATGTAATAGGATAAGAATCCATCATCTGTTTTAACTGTTATAATTGTAAACTGTTGCCAGTTTAAACCTGCATTTGAATCAATGACCCAGACTAAAAAATGTACTAAACATTTTGCCAGTCAGTAGCAACTGCTATACACTCATTGAGGCAGTTTTACCATCATTTTTGAGTAGCTGTTTCCATTCTTGGTAATCTCTTAGACAAACACAATAAATCCATCAGAGTCATTTCTTAAACGTCAAACGAATTTAAAAGTTTAAAATGCCTCAAAATATTTATCAACATATCCTAATATAGCAAATGGATCATAAAATAACCAGAAAGTAAAAATCATTTTTTTTCTCTATCAACTTTCTCTTTTTATTGACCAAGACAGTTTGATGGCTTACGTGTGGAGCAGGATTTCCCAGTGTATCCCAGTGGACAGTCACAGATTCCAGTCTCCCTGTTGCACTGACCTCCATTCTCACAGGACTCGCAGAAGAACTGACAACCTACTCCCCACAAACCTTCTGGGCAATCTATACAAAAAGAAAAACAAACATTTTATTTCTCAAGATAATTACAAACCTATACTGTTACTTAAGGGAGTTAAGTAAAACAAAGTTGAGCTGCTAAGAGAACCCTAAGGTTATCTCTCTAGATCTGTAGCACTTCCATAAGAACCCCCACTTCCCCCCTCCTCCCCACAAAAAAATCATCCTAATACTGTACTACAGCATTTTAGGAAAACACTTAAACACAGAAAATAAAGGCTGTTGTCCAATTCCCACCACAAAGGACCTGTGCGTTCAAGGTGTTTTTCAGCACAGTAAAACAGAAAGGCTTGGATGTATCTGAAAAATAATTTACTTAATACAAACAAGAAGAAACAGATCTGAAATAAAAGAGACTTTTGGGGCAGGAGGTTCAGGATTAATACAGGCAGAGAAGCCGTCACGTATTTAGGAACTATATACTTCACTCCCAGTAGAATTGGGAACAGAACAGAAGGGAAGGAGCTAGATACCAATGTTGGCATCGGGGAGATTTGGGAGTTTGGTTTAGGCTGACGCCCTATTTCCTCTGCCCCTTGGGCAATCTTCTAAAGATGTACCTTCTCCTTCAGGGAATGTTTGTCAAGTTTGAGGAATTCAGACAGGATCACACCTAGCCTAAAATTTCATATATTGTCAATGTGAAGTAGGTCATTAGAAAATGAGAAATGAACGATTTGAGCAAAAAAAAAAAAAGAGAGAATAGCAGCAATTCACTATATTTTTCTATAGAGATTTCCATGTGAAAATGCTTTATAAATATTATTGACACTGTAATAGAGTGGGAGTGTTCTTGTAGCCATGATGGTCCAGGGAATACTATGCACTAATCCACCTGTATAGTTGGTTAAATAAATAATATTACTGAACAAACTGTGCTTTGAAAATATTGGTGAGGCAAAGAGTCAGTAGCCACAACTGGCTTCCCATTGGATTGGTCCTCATCACCAGAGCAACAGTAGGAAGTCCAACAACAAGCTTTCTGGGGGCAGCAACTCAAAGATCCTTCCCCATCCTTCCACCTTGTTTCTACTGTTGATATAATTATTGCTCCTTCTTCCCTTTGTTTTTTTTCTCCCTCACTAGCTGACCACATTTTCCCCCATTTTCCTCACTACTTTCACTTGATATTTCCCCCTGGCTGCATATAAGGCACTCTGCACCCAGCAGCTCAGATCTGCTGACAGGCTTGAATTCATCTTAAATTTCAAGCCTACTACAGCTACCGAAATGTCCCTATCTCATACCAACCTTGTTCATGATATAATCACCATTGCTACTGGCAAGCCTGTTGGCAGTCCTAGCAGAGACATAATGGGACAAATGAGCAGGGTGTGTAAATTATAGTCCATTGTCCACAAAGGGTTCCAGGAGGTTTGGATGAAGTGAACACAATGCTAAGACTGCTGTACTTCCTCTCTAAATAGAGACTGTTCCCTTACAGCCATTTTATGGGCCACAGAACAACGTAACTTTCTGCACTGCCAGAGTAAGACTTGCTCTGGCAAAACATCAAGCATACCTTGACCACAGGCAGGTCCAGTTTTTCCAGCTGGACAAAGGCATCGCCCAGTCTCTGGATCGCATGACGCTCCTCCACAGCTACAGCTTTGCCTGCAGTTCACACCAAACTTCCCTGGGTTGCAAGCTGTTCAAAAGAGGTGGACTGGCGTTATTGGAAAAAAGCGTTCTTTTGAGATACTAGATGGCATCAACACCAGTAACTTTAAAATAAGTAGGGCTGGGAGAAAGTGATCTATGCGAGTGTCACGTCTCAGTGATTTGTGATCTTTAATTACCTGTGCAATAGAATTTTAGAAAACTGAGCCTGAAGCTTTAAAAGGAAACAGCTAGTTACTTGAACCAATAAATAGAATTATTAAGTATCCTCAATCTTTTATCCTGAGTTGAGGTGGCAAGCAGAGTAATGCTGCACTTGCTTTCACTTGTCCATCTTCGGAAGTAGACAATATTAATGGAAAGAAAAATAGCCTTTTTTCCAGCAATTTAAATGAACTGTCAATATTATTTATCTTTCCAACTCACTTCCCATTACAATGGGAATCATGTAGGCTTTAGCTGATCAAATGCATTTGTCACCTACTGTATTTCATGCAAATGGACAAAAAAAATCACCTCTTTAAGCTCTGTCCTCTCTGCTCTATCTATATTTGCCACAGATCTAACTCTTCCAACCAAGGAACAGAAAAGGGGTTCTTCTTATGTCTAATAGTTACCTGTGCTGCCTAGTAGGGCACTGTTCCATTTCAGCTTGAGTTTCAAGGGTTCTATGGAAAAGCGTTTTGTTTCGAATTTTATCTTGATTCGAAACAGCTGTTCCGTTTTGCTTTGCTGAAACAGTGAGGCTGTTTCAACGCTGTTTTGATGTTTCACCCATTAACTATAATGGGGAAGCTCAAAATAGCTTCTCTCATCTGGAAGGCAGATTGGGGCTGCAGGCCCCCAGTCTGCCTGCCAGATGAGAGAGGGAAGCTGGTGCTGCCACCTGGGACTGAGGAAGGGAACTGAGCCCAGTTGCTCAGTTCCCCTCCTCAGTGCTAGATTGGGCTGGGGATGGGAGGTCAGCCCAGCTGGGAAGTGAGTTGGGAAGTCAGCTGGGGAAGGGAGGTCAGCCTGACCATCACGCTAGGGAAAGGAACTCAGGCCAGTTGGGCTGAGTTCCCAATGCCAGCCCAATGATCAGGGTTGGGGAAAGGAATTCAGTCCAGCTGAGCTGAGTTCCCAACCCCAGTGTGACCATCACTCAGACCAAGTGAGCTGAGTTTGTTTCCCCAGCTCAACCATTGTTCGATCTAGTGCAGGGGTTGGGAAGTCAGCCCAGCTGGGCTGACTTCCCATCCCCAGCCCAATCATAGGGCTGGGGAGGGGAACTGAGCGATCAGGCTCTGTTCCTTTCCCCAGCCCCACTGCAGCATTTGGGAGGGGAACCGAGCCTGCTGTGATCGGCTTCATGCAGCCTGGCAGCGGGAGATAGGGAGAGCCAGAGCTGCCGTCCTAGCTGCTGCTGGGAGCACAGCCCTGGTTCTCCCCTGTCTCCCACCACCTCGCTCCTGGCTTTGAAACTCGTAATGTTTCAAAACTTTTGAAATGTTTCAACTAGCCTTGTTTTGTTTCGAAGCCCTTTGTTTCAATTCGATTTCACTGTTTCGAGCTTGAAATAATTCAAAGCAGTGTCAAATCAAAACAGCCGGCGAAATTTCACACAGCCATACTGCCTAGGTACATTTTTAGCCTCACTACCCAAGTATAGCACAACCAGGGATCAAAGTTACTGCTAGAATCATCCCTTATAGTTTCAATGAGAATGAACCTATTTACACCAGTAGTAAATTTGGCCTAATATCAAGAATTCTAGCATCTGAACCTGGTTTTCTCATGGGTGAATTTCATCTTCTACTTTAGACCCAAAGACAAATGCCCTGTGTTTGAAAGCTTGTCTAAATCCTTGGACAAATCCAGCGTTGCTCACTGTGCACAAACCACACAGAGAAAGGGGCTACGGCCACTGTGCCACAATCCTGGATGTCAGTGAATTCTCTGAGCAGATGCTGGAGCTCTGCATAGACCATGAGCTCAATGAGCTCACTGGCAATCAGGGCAGTCTTCTCAGTGTCTCTGCTTTCAAGTAGCTCCAGAGCCCAGGGGGTGAGTACTGCTGCTGTTTACCCTTCCTTGTTCTTCAGCTCCACAAACCTGCTAAATTAAGTGGCAAGGGAAAGAGGAGAGGGGACCAGTGTCCATGGGGATGCTAGCCCCTATTTTCATGCAGCTCTCAAGGAGCCCAGCGGCTGAGCATTGGAGCTCACCCTCTCTTTTCTCCTGCCATTGAATTCAGCATGGGAGGAGGGAAACAGTTAAACAGCAGTGGTGCCCACCCCTGGGTGCTGGAGATGCGTGAATGCAGGCACTCCGGGCAGACCCCTCATGGACCAGATGGTGAGTTCAGACCTCATGGCATAAGTGAAGCTCCAGCTCAAAGAGCTCACTGTACATGTAGCACACAGCCATGCAGTTTGTCTAATAAAAGATCACCACAAAAATCCTTGAGCCTCTACTGATATGCTTCTTATTGAAATGTACGTCCAGATACCTACATAAACGGCACTTTTCTCCATGGAAACCAGGTGGGCATGGATGCTTGCATTCTCCTGTCTTGTGGTCACATAAAACATCAGAGCAGTTGCACTTCAGTTTACAGCCAGCTCCATAAAAGCCAGGCACGCACTCTGAAAAGAGAGTGCACAGAGAACATGTGCAAAGAAAGGAGCAGCTGAGAAAACTGAAACAAAAGTCACAAGATAATTTGGCAACAATATCTGAAACAAATATAAACCTTAAAAGGAAATACACTGAAAATTTTAGCTATGTTACTGACTACTAATATTTTAGCTACTGCATTACTGTTCAAATATCAGCCAAATAACATAGCCACATTCTGGATGAGCAAATAAATAAGTACAGATTTCAGAGTACCAGATTAAGGGCAGTATAAGGTATTATAACAATAGTAATGAGCAAGAAACAACTCTCTCAAAACAAAATTCTGCTTTGAAATACTTTTATGAATCCAGTACAAACAACAGTGGGAGTTTTATGTGCAACTGGGGATTGAATTTGGTTCTAACTGTCCTCTAACTTAAACTAGTTCAACAGGCTACATTTCAATAGGATTGCAACAACTGTAAGCTGTTGTTAGCTGTCTTTGTACACTTCCATCTCAAAGCGTTATATGTATAAAGTACTTGCACAATAGGTCTCCAATGCATGACTGGGGTCTTCATTACAAAAGACAGTGAAAATAATCAAAATATAGTTTTTACACAGGTACAAAGTGTACAAGAAGTGCTTGCATTCACAAGAAGAAGCTGTTAAACATGCCTTTGTAATAGAGTCAGTTGAGTGTCCTGATGCTTTTCCTCCTGATACCTGAAAACTCTTGCCTTTACAGCCACTGCTGCTTTGTGCCTTATGGAGAGATCAGAGGCAGGAAAAGGGCTAGTTCCAAACTGCTTTGGAACACCACCAACAGAACGAGGAGATACGAAATATCATCCCTCATACTAAACCTCCATCCCCTTTTTCCTCCTCAGAAAATCCTGTAAGGGGCTCTATGGCATTAGAGTTCAGAGAAGAATATGAGGCAAGGATCTTTATTGCATTACTCCACTTCCCCCCCCAAGACTGTCAAGCATGAATACAGAATACAATTTCCTCTGCACTATCTACAAAACTTACAAAGAGGCAGAATTTAAAGAGCTGTAAACCTGCTCCAAAAAGCATGATGTAGAATTCATTCATAAATAATCCAGCTATCAAAAAAAAAAATGCAAGCACTGGCTGTAAATTACTGTGTCCTAAGGTGAAATCCTGACTTCACTGAAGTCAATGTCAAAGCTTCAGGTGTACTACAATTTCATCCCTTATGCCAATTGTTCAGGATAAGTCTGCTGGGCCAAACTCTCTCTCATTTACAGCCCTACAACCTTAGTGAAGTCAAATGACCACTGGAGATTGCAATAGGAAAACTAGAGAACTAATTGCCAAAATGTATTAATATCTGCTATAGTGCCAGGTGGCTCATGAAAGGAGTAACGAGAATTAATGGATAGGCATGGCTTTAAAGGCAGAAGATCAGATATTAGGTTATACCTTTTTGGCACCTGCTCCCTTGATAACCTGGTTTGCAGGTGCAAGTACCATTTCTGGCATTGCATTCCAGAGTGTTCGCCTTCACACACTGACATTCTTCTGAGCAGCCAGCTCCAAAGACCCACTTGGGACAGGCTGTAGCCAGATCAAAAGGAATTGTTAACATTGCAATTATACATGAGTTATTTTTTAAACAGCTGCAGAGCTGTGTATGGATAAGACAACTTCTGTAAAGAGAAATATGCATTTTACTTGTCAGCAATACTATACATTCAGAGACGTGCGTGCATGAGTGTGAGTGTGTGTGTGAGTGTATGTAAACTATGATGCCAATTCCTGACTGAGCTGATCCATCTTATTTTGAACAATCTGAGGTGAGTGCAAGAGGTAGTAAGCTTTAAAATGAATGCTGGTTGTCATTTTTAAACAAATATTTTTGGGGTTAAATGTCATAATCTCCCCCCAAATGAATGTTTTCCTGAAAAAAATTGTCTTCACTTTTCTAATTTTTCAACAAACTATACATGAAAAAAAAGCTGTTTTGGTTTTTCTTTCTCTTTTTTAGATTCTTTATTCCCCTTTATCTTTTAGGTATTAGGTATCTAGTCATCTGCCTTTGTCTTTTTTGTGTGTATACTTTTGTCACTTCATCACCAAACTTAAGGATGTGAGCTGTCCCCCCAGAGTTGATTGAGCAACATACTGCTAAAAACCCTGCTCAGTTACAGCCATACATCCTTAGATCTTTTCACATCTGTTGTGCTCTTTCTGTTTAAAACAAACAGCTCAGAACAATTACTGTGACTTACTTAGATGGCAGAAACGCCCATATAATCCTGGGTCACACAAACAGGCTCCATACAGTCTGTGGCAATAGCCATTATTGGCACAGTTACATTTCTTGTTACAGTTCTTCCCGAAGAATCCTTTTGGACAGCCTAGAGAGGTACACATGAACAAAATGATCAACAAGGCAGTATCAGGTCTCTTTCTGTGAAATACCAAGCCAGCCTTGTTCTAGCATGCTTCCCATAGCAAGCATCTGGAGGAAATTTGATGCTTTTTTTATTGAGGCACTGAACTATGACACAGGAGATCTCAGTTCAATTCTGGCTTTTCCACCATCTTAGCTGATACTGGGATAAATCTGTCCCTGCCTCAGCTTGCTATCCTTACAATGCTGATAATGCTAACTGCTTTCATACATTTGTTGCCTCTCCTGTTTTTTCAGGACAAGGAGGGCAAGGCAGGACAAAATTCAAGAGTATGTGTCCATGCCCACCACCTCAGCTGGAGACTTAGCTCTACTATGGGCAAACTAGCAAAGACCAGAAGAAATGGGCAGTCACTAGGTTCCCAGACAGAAATTATACAGAGCAAAACACTAGCAATCATACCATCCTCACATATCTTTCCACTAATTCCCAGTGGGCAGTGACACTGTCCGGTTACAGGGTCACACGAGCCTCCATTCTGGCACTTACAAATGCTGTTACAGTTTTTCCCATAAGTCCCTGGAGAGCAAGCTGCAAAGAAAGCAGAGAAGATGAATGGACTAAGTAATCTCTTCATGAGTTAGAAATGAAATGAAATAATGCTTCAGTCATCAGAATAATACAAACAATTAAAGGACAACTCTGGGCAAGCATCTCTTAAATTATGCCATGTCACTGTTGTTTCCTTATAGGATGATATCCGTTCTTCTGGTATTTACCACCAGGTCATTAAAACTGACAGCTGAAGTAACCAGACTCAATTATCTGAAGGGAAATATGCCTTAGCTATATTCTTTGCCTACACAAGCTCTGAAGCTTCATAGATATTTTATACTGTCCAAAGGTTGAGCCATAACAACATATGACTCCATGGCATAAAGCTCTGATGGCTCCTATGAAAACCATATCTGTGTAAGAGAAAAGAATACCATTATTTTCAGCTAAAATTGGTTAAATACAATCTTTGGACTCATTTTCAGTATCTAACTTAATTGACACGTTATCGTTACACACTAAGCAGACAAGGTTCTTTGGGTGAATCTGATATCTTTTATTAGACCAACTAAATAGTTGGAGAACAATTTTTAAGCAAGCTTTCAGGTTCAAAACCCCTTTGTCAGGCTAAGGAAGTTTCAGCAGATGATGTGCGCTCTTCCTGGATGGAATGAAAAGTAAAGAAGCCAGAGGCTGGGCTGGTATGCATCCAAGACAGGCAGTCAGTGAAAATGTAGATTGAGGAGTCAATGGATGAGAGACAGGCTGGGCGTACGGGAGAGAAGGGGGATGAATAGTGGAGAAGTACCTGGGAAGTCCGCTTCAAACAACTGCAACCCATACTAGAAAGAGACCCTGCTCTTAAAGAGATCTTCCCAGAGCCACCCATCCTAGCTTTCAAACAAGCACTGAACCTCGCCAACCTCATCACCAGAAGCAAACTTCCTACGACCCGGAACACACTGAATGGATCCAGACCATGCCATGACAAGAAATGCAAAACCTGCCAGCACATCTCCACCACCCCCACAATGACTACACCTCACAACACAGCCATCAGCATTCCCGGATCTTACAGCTGCACCTCCAGAAATGTAATATATCTCATCCAGTGCACCAAATGCCCTGATGGAAAATACGTAGGAGAGACCAAACAACAACTGCGCACCACAGTGAACACACACTGGAAATCTCTCAAAGGCAGGAATACCCAATTACCTGTGGGGGCACATTTCTCACAAGAAAACCACTCTCTCTCCAACCTCTCAGTCCTGATCCTCAAAGGGAACTTACAAAGTACTTCCCTGAGACGAGCCTATGAACTGCACTTCATCAACCTCCTGGATACTAAAAATCATGGACTAAATATAGACATTGGATTTATGACACATTATAACCTGCCTGACAGCTGACTTCCCAGGTACTTCACTATTCATCCCCCTTCTCTCCTCCCCACCCAGCCTGTCTCTCACCCACATTTTCACTGACTACCTGTCTTGTCTGCATACCAGCCCAGCCTCTGGCTTCTTTACTTTTTATTCCATCCAAGACGAGCACACACCGACTGCTGAAACTTCCTTAGCCTGATGAAGGGTTTTTGAACCTGAAAGCTTACTTAAAAATTGTTCTCCAACTATGTATTTGGTCTAATAAAAGATATCAGATTCACCCAAAGAACCTTGTCTGCCTATGTTCTTAGACCAACACAGCTACAACCTACACCCCCATTACACACTAAGAAACTTGAAATTCATCATCAATTATCCTTTGATTTTCTTTCATTCATTAGGAAAATTAAGCTCCTGATTTCTTTTCAAAGTGTCATCTATGCTTTTTCTTTAAAGACTGTAGAAAGGAAAGAAAGAATGAAAGAAAGAAAAAATATTTATAAGGATCAAATCTTGATTTATATAGAAAAGATTCTGTGCTTATCTCAGTCAACACCGACATCAATGAGATGAGACATAATTCTGTATTCTTTTTAAAACTAGAAGAGAATTGTTTTGGATCAAATAGAATAACATCATTGATAACGATAGAAAAAGTCTCAATTATTAATGCACACAATATAATACTATTACAGAGAATACAAGCCCTGACCTAAATCTGTGCCTGAACAGAGACTATACTGCAAATACAGGTTAAGAAATTCCAATTGGGTTACCAAAACACATTAAAATATCCTATAAGCACTATCTGTAACACACAGCAAAACTGAAAATGATCATTTTAAACTTCTTTGCTATTATTCTATTACCAATGCCCCAATAGTTTCTAACTAAATTCATATTTCACCTGTACTAGGAACCTGCTACATTTTCATTTATTTTTGGCAATTTGTTGGAATCCCTTCCTTCTTTCTTTTGCCCTGGTGTCTGCAAAATATCTTGGAAATGTTAGGGTGGTGACCTATTGAGACTACTGCGTAGCACTGTCTCAAAGTTCCTTGGCCCATCTATCAATACAGGTTTCCCTCACTTTATGCAGGTTCATTGTGTGTGAATTCGCTCTTATGCGATGACCCTTTTTATACCAAAAATTTGTTATGTGCGAGGTAAATTCACTCATATGTGATTGGTGTTGTGGAAGCCCACAGTCAGCTGCTTTGTGCGGTGCACTGTGGGAGTGACAAGCACCAAAGTATAGTCTTCTGTGTGGATCTGTGCTCCTCGCTCCTTGTCTGCAACACGTGTTTCTGTAGTTGCTATCCACATTACGATAGTGCCCTGTGCTTGTGCGCACTGTCTGTTGTTGGTGAGTACCAAATTGTCTTGTAAAAGTGGTAGAAATGGGTCTGGGGGTCAGTGCAGTCAAGGTCTTGGAAAGGATCCCTATTTGTTACATTGTAAAGTGGGTTCCCTTTATGGAAATTCGAGTTATGCGCCATTTTCAGGAACACATGTACAGCATAAAGCAAGGGAAACCTGTATCACCCCATTGCCTGTTATCTTACAGCTTGTAAGCTCTTTGGGGAAAGGACTCAACCAGCTGTTGGATAGCAACCCTGGGGCCCTAGTCTCTAACTAAAGCTACTAGGCACAATGGTAATACAATTAATGGACACACATACTGAATCGCTAACAATTGTTTTGTTAAAGCTGTGATGATGAAGGCACAAATCCTGACTGCCTTTATGTAAATAATAGGCTAAGTACTGTCCATCAAGACATGACCATTCTTCCATGCCGTTTGTTTTTTCCCACATGCTCATGCAGCAGAAAATTCTTTTTACAAGGAAGTAGGAATAACAAAAAGCAAAGTTCTTGTATCATAATTTCCTTTATAAAAGGCACTGATGTACAGGTCAGAAGCACTTAAAGTATTTTAAGCAGTAAAAGCTCTAATACTAAAAAAGAACAACTCTCAATAATGTTACCGTAAATTAAAAAAACAAAAGTTCAGAAATAAAGGCCTTAGTTCACCAATGTAATAATAATTTTAAAAATGACGGCATGTCTGAACTTGGAAACTTGGAAACAACTAAGTTTACCTTTGAGTCAACCCAGACAGCAGCAGCGTATGCCAGAAGAGACTTCTAAAATGCAGCTAATCAAGTTATGGACTACAGTGCACCAGGTTTGCTGCAGCCTGCTCACATTCTGGGGACAGCACATGAAGTGAATAGGACTTTACATCAAAATAAAGAAGTAGCGTGGGATAATGTGTTGGCGGTTCAGTATTTGATCAGTGAGGCAATACCAGGGGCTTACCAATTGCATAATTCAACATCCCTTCCCATTTAGATTTAATGTGCCACACAGGACATGAGGACTTCATGTCAAAATCAAGAAGCCACTGTGTCCATCTCCAACTGTGATCTCCAACTGTGATCAAATGGTATAAATGTGAAATCTTTCAATGAGAATTGTATTCCTTTTCAGTACAAAACGAGAACAAACTGTTTCTGTTTCTTATACGATTGCCAGAGCAGAGCTCTAGGGCAAAGAACATAACTCTTGGATCCTGTCTAAGCATCCTGTACTCACTTTCATTACAGATCATGCCAGTCCATCCAGGCAAACAGATGCATCCACTGTTTTCACTGTTACATGTGCCTCCATTCATACAGTCTTCACAGCTCAAACTACAATCATTGCCAAATGTGCTATCCAGACAAACTGAAATAGAAAAAGCACAAAAAGTTTTGTGAGCACAGGGACACGACACTAATAAACGTCTACCTATCTGTAACCATTCCAGATATACAGTGCAAAGAAAGAACTTTGTAGAACTTCTTGTAGAGTTTAGATTGTGGTTTGGATGCTTTGACTTGGGATGATCCTGCCTCAATCAGGGGTTGGACTAGGTCCCTTCCAGCCCTACTTCTCTAGGATTTAATGAACCTGATCAATTTAAAGAAAGTATTAAGAGTATTACTGGTATTATAAAGATACCTGGATCTTTCCAAACATCAATATGGTTTCCTTGACAATAAGGGAGAACCCTCCCATTTAAACACAATAAGCACATTGGCTGTGTCCTCAGTTTTGGGCCTCTGTTCTAGCACTGCCCAGTCAGAGCACGTCTGCTTTTATGCTGTGAGCTTGATTGCAAAGAGTTGCATCCCAAGTGAGAGGAAGTGCGAGGCTAGGCTCCCTGTCTCTGGTGGTACTCATCCAGCAAGATACTGCAAATCTTTGCCAGAGAGGGCTAAAAAATACTGTGCCTTATAGAACTGAACTAGGTTTTTTCAAAAGAGGTTTTTTAAAGAGAGGATACCATTACTTCAGTTTTCAGGTCACATCAGGTGAACACCATAATCACAATATATTTAAAAAGCACATTTTAAACTATTCTATGAAAGTCCATCTTAATGCAAGTTTATAATCTTTTCTGCATGAAGAGGATTTTCACATGGAGAAACAAATCAGTATCTAAGTCTCTGTCTCACACACATCTACCATTTTCCTTTATCCGCTCACAAGTACAAGCACTCCTGCTGCATGACGTTTGTTGAAGGCTAATGAGCCAAATGTTACTTCTTTTTGAAATATCTGCATGACATTACAAGCCCATCCTTTTGATCAGCTTTTTGCCTCAGGTGGTTTGTGGGACAGGACTGATGGTTTTTTTGGATAAGGATTTTGATAAGGCCTTAAAAGGAAGCTGACAGGCTCCTTCAGCTAACATTAAGTCAGTGGGTTGCTTGTTTTTCATCGGTAATTCTCTATGTGAGATCAGATTTTCTAAAGCACTTAGCACCCAACAGCTCCCATTTAGGAACTTGTATAAGTGGCCAGCATTCAAATGCATTCAGAAAGCAGCTAAGAACAACTTTGAAAATTCAGCCCTAAACACTGGAATGCAAAATGCCTTTGGAAAGGGTAACCAATTTTACTTTAACAACATAATAAAAGGCAAAGGACCTGTCAAAAAGACTAACTGCTTGCGATATATTATTGTTTTAACAGGCGGTCTAGTTAAAATCTACAGCACAACACAAAAAAGCACTTGAAGCCAGGAAGAAATTATGTTCCATTTGAGAGTGAAAAGGAGTGGCTAAACTTTGAAAAAGGTACTTTCACCCTCCATTGCCACTAGCTCCCTGGGCATCAACATTGTCATGGTTATGCTCTGGATCAGCCTTTGGGGAAAAATACAGAAGCTCACTTACAAAATTATCAGCCTGCCCCAAAATTATGTTAAGTATGAAAAACAAAGTCAGTGCTGGTGATTCAAAGTTAGGCTTTGCCTTCTATGCTTCTCATTCTCCAGGTGGCAATACTATTTGTCAGATTCCCAACTGGTTGTCAGCCTAACAGCGTCTAGCTATGGAGTACTGCCTGCTGTTAACTGTTTTTCTAGCACGACTACCTTCTGTTGCATTCCTGCTGTACATCACATAGACTTTTTCAGGTCTACACTTTCCCCTTTATACATAAAAAGTAAATGCCAGGATCAGACCCTGAACTGTACCTGTGGAACATGGACTCAGATGTGCAATCAGACCTAGTTAGACTCCAAATATAAACGTGATACAATATAAATTGGAAAGAAAAAAAAATAATTCACTCATGAACAAGAAATTCGTCTACCAAGGAAAAAACAAGGTGACTTTTCAATCCATAGTAAAGTGACCAACTCTCCATATTTGTCCAATACAACAGGGCTATTGAGTCTCGCGTTAATTCTAGGTTGAAAAAACAATTGGATGCCCTTAGCATGGATTTTCACGCCCTAGCTTAGATCCATGCCCTAGCCTGGGTTTTTTATGATTACATATTATAGTTTCTGACCAGTTTCAGTATCATCATTTCCTCTACATACTCTGCACAAAATAGGTAGTCCCTGCATTTCTTTCTATAGGTTGTCTATGAGATGTTTTCCAGCAGTACCAACATTATGGAGAATTTTTTCCTTTTTGAAGCAGCAATGATAAGGGCTGTTGATCAGTGTGCTGCCCTTGGATTATCCTTGCTGCAGCTGCCCTCAGCCTGCAGAAGGATGCAGGCACCTCCCGCTGGCTGGTGCACATTCTTTGAAGGGCAGAAAAAATTTGGCCCTCTGCTTTCTTTCTCTTCTTCTACCAGCTTTATCCTTCCTGAGTCGGTCTCATTTTTTCTCTGAGATCTTTCCCAACCCAGAGACTTTCCCACTCACCACTGCCACCTGTTCTCACCCTTAGAAACTAGCATCATCTTTAGTTTCTTACCAACTTTTTGCACGAGAGTGAGTTCTCCTCGCACATCCTCATCCTCGTAGAAAGGGTCTAGTGTGACAGCATATTTAAGTAGTTGAGGTGGTCTTCTGAACTGAAGATCTGGAATCCTAGAGATCTCTAATTCTTCTTCTTCCTCCTTATTCAGTTCATCATTATCTAGTGCTAAGAACAGAGCCATCTTTAGAATTACAACTTACTGCTTCAGTCTTTAGATCTTCCTATTAGGTATAGCTGAAAAATCTAACACGGTAAAATCTGTTTCTAACTGTACAGTACATAATGTATACAGTTATAGCTGTTCCTAAATGTACAATACTCAGTACACCAAGGCACACATGCTCCTCTTTATTAACTCTGTTAGTGGAGTACACATGAGCAGGAAAAAGAGAAAGAACAAAATGGGCCTTACCCCTCTTCTTAGAACTAAACTCTGGGTTTGAGGCTGGAAACAAGTCTGGAGCTCAGTATTTCTACATTGGGCCAGAACTGAAAATGTTGAAGTTTAGTTGTGGATCCTGAACCCTGAATGTTTGAGAGTATTTAGGTCTAGAATTTTTATTTCAGCCCATGGTAGGGATTATACATTTGTTCAATCTATGGATCTGTGACTTGGACCTGGTTCTAAAATAAACACAAAAATTTGAAAATCCAGCATTAAGAGACTGTGGAATCAGTTGACCTACTTTTTGCATTTGGATGAAACTTCACACTCTTCCTGTAGTTTAGCACGTGGTTAAACTAGATAAAAAGATACATGACCATGCTGGGCTCCAGTTCCAGTGTTAGACACTGACTTTAGTAGAGACATTTGTATTAGTTTAACAGAACGTAACTTGCTTAACTAGGTCTTTTTTTCCCACAGGATCTCTAACCTCCTAATATAACTAAAGTAAGGGTAATATAAGTGTGTGTCAAAATAACAGAATTTTTTTATAAAACAAGCTGAAATTTTCAAGGCAGCTGGTGGGAGGATTTGCCCATATACCTTCCATTAACCTTCTCACCAAGCCACTATCTTGCATGCTTGTGGGGGACCAAAAGGCTGCACATAGCTTAGACATCCTTAAACATCTCAAATTGGACTCTCAAAATTTTTTGTCCCTTCTGAAAAATCTTGTCTCAGAGCTCATGTTCTAAGTCAACAGGAAATGCTGAATTGTCTTCCAGCGTTACTCTGACTTACTGATGCAGGTCTGCCCGTTGATACCAAGTATGTAACCTTCCTCACATGCACATTCATATGACCCCAGAGAATTAACACAGACTTGGTCACAGTCACCATTGTCAACAACACACTCATCTTCATCTACGTAAAAAAAAATAGAGGGTAATTAGGCAAACGTTAAACCACTTGAAATTTGTTCAAACTTTAAACAAAATTTATATGTGCATTCTGAAAACTTTGCTTAAATTTATTTATCTCCATTTGAATATACCTGGTACTCCTTTGGTTCCCACTAACAATAGAAGTATCAAAATATTTCAAGGCAAAAGAAAAGAGGCTATTTTGCCATATTTCAGGCCCAAATAAAATTATAAAAAACCCCCAACATGACTGCATAGATCCAAGAAGTCTATATACGCATCTTGACCTGTCCATATTTAGCCAGACCTCCAAATATTTTGGTGTTTACCTACATGTAAAGTACTCTGGCAGTTACCTTTGATGACATCTACATATAGTATGTGTGTAAGGGGAAAGGGCTCTTCAGTCGACTAATTTCCTGCATTCCTGCACAAAGTAGACCTGCCTGTTACTCAGTCCCTGTGTTTTGGGGATCATATTGCTAAAATCCTATTGACACAGCAGTATTTGCTGCCAGGGAAATTGCTATGAAATACTGGAATGAGCTTTGAAATCTGTTCTCTTCCACCCCCTCTTGTGATCCGAATCAGGCACAACCAACAGTGTTAAGCCATTTACCATCACATCCACAGCCATCAAAGTTAAGCTGGAACCCTGCCTTGCACGTGCATTCGTAGCCACCTACATAGTTGATACAGAACTGAGAACAGCAGGCCTCTCCAGTCTCACACTCATCCAGCTCTGAAGGAGAAAGGAGCACTTCAATTAGGTTTCACAAGGGCAATTCAAAAACAAGCAACCTGTTCACTTGATTCATGGCACTGAAAGACTGTTATTCTCACCCTGTTGGCCACTTTAGCCCGTGCAGTTTTCTAAAACAGATTCCCTGGACATTGCACTCTAGTGGCCAGTTTTCCCATGTTCTGTTTACCACTTCCAAGCCAAAAATATTTGTTTGAATCTTGATAATGGGTCTGTTCACCAGATCACTGTCATATAATTAGGAAAGACGTTGTCAGCATTCAATAGCAGAACACTTGTTCTATATTTCTTCGGGGCCAAAGCAAAGGCATCTGGTCTATGCCTGGGACTCGGAGGCATTGCCACGACAAAATAATTAATCACACGAATGTCAACACTCCAGGATATAACAAGCATCTATTCAGCATTAATCTGTAGCTGATCATTTTCATATGAATTTTTTCAACCATCAGGTCTATTATGACAGAAAACAGAGCAGAAAACAGTAAGCTGCAATTCAGTGAAGCACACTCAGGAAAGAAGATACTTATTTATATGCAATTTATATGCAATAAATCAACTGCCACCATTTTGTTGCATCTTGTTTACATCTGGAAATACGTATGGTCAAAAACTGCCATCTTGGTGACTGGAAACAAGAATCAAACTGTTTTCTTTTAACTGCAGGCTCTCAGCTGATCTCAGCCCTTTTAGCTTGTTGAGCTATTAAGTGGCTTTTCAAGGGGTAGCTTGTCAATGCTGAGTTTGCAAAATGCTTTTGAACATTAACTAGATGAGCAACCACAGAAGCAAAAGGTCAGTGTCTCAATTAACCTTGGAAAGGCGACCAACATTATTAGGAAACGCAGACAAGAGAGGAGAAAGAAAATGTAATTAATCAATTGAGGTTAGAGGTTAGCATGCAATTGATTAATGCAGGTTCTTTGAACAAGGAGTGTTCTGTTTCCAGAAGTGTCACAAGCAAAGCTGCTCTGCAATATTTTAGATGGTATCTTGTCTCCCGGTTCTATTAAAAGCTCATTGAATGCCTTGGACTGTGCAGAGAACAACCAACGAAACGGAGAGTTTTGCTGTCAGAACTTTTCACTTCCTCTGCTCTCTTCCGTTGAAAACTTCATCTATGTTATCACCTCTTTCACCTTGGCCACAATAACTTTCTTTGCTCTGAATTCTTCATTAGCAGGGGTCTAAATAAGACTCCAGCCAAGCCCTGAGTAATCCCACAGACACCCAAGGTCATTTCAGAAACCAGTCCAAAATTACCCTTCTGGTTTTAACAATTCTCCTGTCACAGACCTCTCTCTTTCTCTTCCTTCTCATCCTATCTAGTAGCTAATGTTTCCTACTTTCTACAACCAAATTTTTGATAGTACAAATCTTCACATATCTATTGTGCATTACAATATTATAATTGCCTAGTCCTTCCAAAGCCAGGATGAGCAATTTTCTGGGTTCGAGGGCCACTTAGGAAGTTTTAGTGAGCTGTTGCAGGCCTGGATTGTAGGGGACAGAGGGAGAGGGGCTGACCTGGCCTGGTGCCAGTGGGGGAGGGTGGTGCTGACCTGACCCAACCTGACTTGGTGAAGTTGGGGAGGGGAACAACAATTGAGTCTGTCTGACCCTGGGCCTGTCTGCCCCACACCCACCGTCTGGGGTTCTGGATAGAGCAGGCAGGCAGGGTCTCCATGGAGACTGGCTTGGGACCCCCGCGGCCAGGGCATGCTCAGTTGGGCTGATGGGATAAGGCCACATGTGGGCAGGGAGCGGCATCAGGAAGTGGGATGCACAGGCAAGGTAGGAGTCACAGGGCGGTGACAACAAGGAGCTAGGGGCTAGGGCGCAGCCACAATCCACTTCCGGCATGTCCCTGTGATGGGTGCTGGTTCCATGGGCAGGGACGTCCAGAGAGTGGATTGTGACTCTGCCCCAGGCCCCAGCCCCACACTGTCACTGCCTTGCAAACCCAGCCCTGAACCCAGCCCCAGCTGCCCATCCTGCTCCCGGATGCTGCTTTCCATCTGCCTGTGGTCCTATTCCATCTGCCTGAGCGTGCCCTGCCCGTGGGGGTCCTAGGCTGGTCTCCATCGAGACTGTGCCCACCAGCTCTGTACAGCGCCCTGGTGGTGGGTGTGGAGCAGATAGACATGAAACATGTCTATTTAGACATGTCTCATATTAATTAACCCACTCCAGCAGCCTCTGTCTCATGTCTATTTAGACATGAGACAGAGGCTGCTGGAGTGGGTTAATTAATATGCTCTAATTGAGTCTGCTCTGATGCGTGCTAATTAGCATGCTTTGGAGCAGATATTTGGCACATGTATAGGTGCCCTGCGATTCCAGAGGAAAATGGGGGGGAGGGGGGGTTGGAAAGGTTTGGTAAGAGTATATGTCTTAACTCTTGGTTTCACATTTTGCTTTTTGTTAAAAACCCCGAATTATTAATTCTGTATTAATACAAGTCCATTTTGGTAAAAGGTACAATTGTTTTCATGGCAAACATTATATACAGTAAAAATGTTTTATAAAATGATGTAAGACAGAATAAGGGAATTTTTACAAGGACTTTCTTTTAAGAGAAACAGAAATTAAATTTACTACTTTCATTTCCCAGGTGAAATTTTGCACACGGTAGGAAGTATAATTTCACTGATGGGTAGTTTGATGGAAGCAGAACAAGTCTGACAGTGCAAAGTGGTCTCTGTGTGAGTGCACAGCAATTCTGAAAATCAGCCTTAACATGCACAACTAGAACTAATCATCTGCTTCAACAACTGTTTAGCCTCAGAATATGAGCAAATCTCAGGAAAAGTTTTTTTTTTAAGTTTCTGAAAAAGGAGCTAAGCACAGGCTGTAAATAAATAGAGATTTGTTACTTATGGATAAGTGGAAGTGCATCCGGGAAGAGTCTTTTTGTTTTAAGCCCAGAAGAAAATCTTTTCAGTGCAAATGATTTCACCAAACACAGAGTGGCTCAAGTTGAGGTGATGAATGGAAAGGTTTGGACTGGTTCCAATTTACTGCAGTACAGGAAGAAGAGCTAAAACATGCACTTTCAGCAAGCTTGCAGATGACACCAGACTGGGGGAGAAGTAGATATGCAGGAGGGGAGGGCTAGGATTCAGAGAGACCTCAACAACTTGGAGGATTAGGTCAGAAGAAATCCCATGAGGTTCAATAACAAGAAGTGCAAGGTCCTATGCCTAGGATGAAATGATCCCAGGCACTGGTACAGGCTGAGGGCTGACTGGGTAAGCAGCAGCTCTGTAGAAAAGTACTTGGGGGGGAGGGGTGTACAAAAGGCTAACAGCATACTGGGCTGCATTGGTAGGTCTGTTGCCAGCAGATCGAGGGAAGTGATTCTTCCCCTCTATTTGGCACTGGTGAGGCCACATCTGGAGTACTGTGTCCAGTTTCGGGGCACCCACTAGAGAAGGGATATAGACAAAATGGAGAGAGTTCAGCTGGGAGCAATGAAAATGGTTCAGGTGCTGGGGCACATGACTTCTGAGGAAAGGCTGAGGAAACTGGGCTTATTTAGTCTGGAGAAGAGAAGACTGAGAGGAGATTTAATAGCAGCCTTCAACTACCTGAAGGGGGGTTTCAAAGAGGATGGAGCTGGACTGTTCTCAGTGGTGGCAAATGACAGAACAAGGAGCAATGGTCTCAAGTTGCAGCAAGGGA